AACCTTGTCAACTTGAAGTCAGGACATCTTCAAGTTGTCAAGGTTGAGAAACACTGTGTTAGACAAACACTATGAAATAATATGCCCAACTGCTTCTACTTCTTAAACTCTAGTTATTTTAGCTCTATTTCTCCCTAAAGCCTTTTTTAAAGTATTAGATGAATCCTTCCATTTCTTTTCAGAATTGAAAATTGTGACACTTCATTTACACATTTCACATAGGTTAAAAGAAAATATGCATCGGGCTCCATTATCATCTCTTGTTGTATTTAAAGTGATCCTCCCATTCCAAAGTTACATTATTTGGAGAAGACCCATAGCTTTCTTCAGGTAAACACTATATAAGAGGGCAATTGTTTCTTAGAACTGGGCTGTAAAATTTAGGGGTGCTTTTTTTTCACTCCTCCCATTAGGATGTCATTTCTGAACTCCAGAGACAGCTTAGACTCCAGACAACACTCGACTAGTTCTTTGGGCAATAACCTTGCAGATCTTTCCATTCCTGCCTTGCTGCCCTTTCAGAAGAGGACAAGGAGGGGCATTTGTCACCTTAAGTGAAGCGAGCGGGTGGTCCGGTCCAAGAAGACTCCAATGGAAGGCAGCCAAGTCCTCATCTGGAAGAATGTGGTTCCCTAAGGGGGGAAAGGCACATATACAATATACAATCAGCAACAAGAACGGAATTCAAGCTCCCTCTCCTTCATCCAAAATGGAAATAAGCGGAAAGTGTTATAGAATTTAAAGTTAAGATTTAGCAAATTATATTTTGCAAGAGGAGAAAGATCTTGAACTGTACACAGTATAGTGAGAATCCCAAATCTGAAACACTGCAGACAGAAAATCTGCACTCTTCATACTGAACTTCTGAGTACAGCAAAGTAATTGAATTATATTGTTTTGGTTGAAGCTGAAGCTCTTATTTGATTCGGGCTGGTTAATTGTTCTAAACATTTTAAATAACAGCAAGAATTTAAAGTATATTATAAAAAGATCATGAAGAATAGGGTAGAGATGCACCTACTCCAGTAAAAAGATTGGAGTTAAGATCAGGGATTTTGCAAATGGGACATCCTTTTGCCCTTGAAAATATTCCAAGCCAGCTGCAACCTATTTTTTTTTTAATCATCTGACGACGAGGAAAAAAAATGTTATGCTCTTTCACATACATTAAGGAAGAAAAAAATTAAAATTAAAAAAAAAACACAATGCACACTGAAAAGCTGCATCTCTCAAGTCACTAGCTTTTATAAACCATGGTTACCACGGACTATGATCTAACATGATATATGTAAGGTTAACCAGTTTCAAATTTACCCAGCAAGGCAGCAAATATAGGAAAACTGCTCAGCTTGAGACCCAGCTGCTTGGCCACCTCTTGCATGAGGAACTGGTTAGTGGTGAGGTTTTTGCCATTCCAGCTCAGCTTCAGGGCATGGGAACTATAGTAGGAGGGGATGTTGCAGAGAGCGTATTCCGAGTCATGGGCAATGAGTCCATGAAAGCCGTTCTCGCGAAAGAAAGAGACTACTTCCTGATGATGATCCTCCAGGCTCTGGAACACCTGAAAAGGGAGTAAAAGGACACGGATGAGTACATTACAAGGGCAAATTTCTTTGCCTTAACTTGTAATAAAGTATTTGCTTTGAGATCATTTGTTCATTGGTTTTATCTTCTTTTCTTCCTTCCCACCACTCTTCAGAAGATGGAAGATGTGGAACATGGCATGGGAACACCCCAAAGGCCTTTACAGCAAAATACCTGGGGGGTCATGGAAATCTTTCAGTTGTGTGCTACTTTGCAAACAGTGGCTGAAGTGGGGGGTTCTGTACATCTCATATTAATTCAGAAAAGTCACAGTACTAAAAACAGATGAATTGAAATGGTAGGACAAAAGAGAGGGATTTTCTGAATCAGAATAAGAAAAAGTCAGAGTGTGAGACTACTTAGCAATAGCAATAGCAGTTAGACTTATATACCGCTTCATAGGGCTTTCAGCCCTCTCTAAG